ATAACTTGGTTATTCATTAACAGGAAAGTAGTAAAGGAAAGGCCAAATAATATAGGCATGCCATTAGTGCCAGAAAGCTGCCATTAACATTCTCCAGGTCTGTTCACTGCAGGTCGATGGGAGAAGGGACTGGACAATAGACACATGCCCAGTGAGTTGCGGTGATGTGGGAAAGAGATTACCTGTCAGTCACACCTGGGAACCGGGCACTGGCCAGAATGGATATGGTCACTGCAAAGGGATGAAATCCCAGATACATAAACTCCTGAACAAAGGAGCTTTCTCTCTCTCTTGGCTCTCTTGTTGTGGGGGGATGGGGGACATGCTCCCCTGCATTCACCCACATGGCCTACAGACATGTGGACCCCACACACAATGGACTGATGGACTGGAATTAGCTGGATGCTGTGCCGGATTCAACTGCACCATGGAACAAAAGCTTTGCTTCTAGTTCTACTGAAGCCCCAGCTGCACATTTCCCAGGACTGGTTTAGGGGAAATGGGACTTTGCAAACCGAGGGATAGAACTGTACACAAATAAAAATTACTCATTCTTTCATGCGAGTCTTAGAAAACTCTTTTTCTCAAGATGTCGTAAGAACCCCACTTCCATTAGCAATGAAGAAATTCCACCCATGCAATTCTCTGATAACAGTATCAGCAAGCTCACATTCTCACAGCTTAGCAACTCCAGCTCTAAGAGCTTCTAGTTGGCAAAGAGATACAAAATGTGTAACCCTTGCCCAGCTGGTGTGGCTTAGTGGTTGAGCATCGACCCTTGAACCAATAGATCCCCAGTTCAATTCTGGTCAGGGCACATGCCCAGAGGGCGTGTAGGAGGCAGCCCATCAATGTCTCTCATTGATGTTTCTATCTTTCTATCCCTCTCCCTGCCTCTCTAAAAAAAAAGTTAATAAAAACATTTTTTTAAAATATAGAACCCTCATACACTGTTGTTGGGAATGTAAAATGGTGCAGCCACTTTGGGAAACAGTTTGGCAGTTGTATCAAAAGTTGAATGTGCACCAACCATATGACCCAGGAATCCCATTCCCAGGTTTCCACCCAACAGAAGTAAAAACATGTGTCCACACTGAGACTTGTTCACGAAAGTCCATAGCAGGATTATTCGCAATAGCCCCAAATTTAAGACAATTTAAATGTTCATCAAATGGCGAATGGAAAAACAAAATGTGATTTATCTATATGGACAGGGAGGGGGGAAGGGAGGAAAAGGAATGTCTGGCCCTTATACCGCCTTCAAAATCATTTGATCTGGCCCTGCCAAGGCATTAGGGGTGAGTTAATGAAATGTTTGACCAAATATAGCAGGCTAATAATTTTATATGGCCTACAAATGATGTTACACATATCAAAATTGCAGGAAGCCACCCATTGCCTTTACTATCAGAGAAGAGCAAACAAGGATCCCAGAACGCTGGTGAACCTTGGACCCATGGCAAGGTTCACCCACTGCACCGACTGTCTAGTCCAGCCAGTGGGGGCTCAAGCTACTTCCTGATCAAATAGTCTCAGAGTAAGTCTTTCTAATATTTACTAACCTTTAAAATAGCCTGTCTGCTACCGCAATTACCTGCCTAAGGGCTAGATGTGTATCCAATATTGAATAAAAGGCTGGCGAGACCTAGGCACTAGTAGAAGTCCTTTCTCTTGCATTGGGCTTGCCCGCTTGGCCCCCAATATTTCCAAATTATTATCCCTTGTCTCGTCTCTTTCACTGTGTACGGCCCCTCCTCCAGATCCTGAACCTTGAACCACGTGGGACGTGGGGAACATTCACAAAAATGGCCTTTGGCAGAAAAAAGGTACCCCACCCATGCTCTAGAGGAACAGCTTTGTTGACCAGCTATTTCGAGCCAGTACTCGCCCATGTGGCTGGCTACTTTTCTGCACTTGAATATTAAATGAAAGCATCTGAATAAACTTAAATGTACTTTATATTGTCATAATTTATGTTTTTATTACCAGCAGTCCAATGATTTATGTAATGAAGCCTCCATAAAAACCCAAAAGGAAAGTTTGGAAAGCTTCTAGGTTGGGTAACCAGAACCCCACCATGCATGCCCAAACTCCATGGGGATAATCGTTCCTTTGAAACCTCACCCTGTGTATCTTTCACCTGGCCCTGGATCATATATCCTTTGTAATAAAGTGATAATCTAGTGAATAAAGTTTTCCTGAGTTTGTGAGCCATTCTAGCAAAGTAATTAAATCCAAGGAGGGGGTCATTGGAACCTCTGAGTTATAGCCAGTCAGTCAGACCAGGTAACAACCTAGGCTCGTCATTGGCATTTGAAGGGCAGTCTTTGTAGGGCTGAGCCCTTCACCTGTGTAATCTGATGCTCTCTGGGTAGATAGTGTCAGATTGAGTTGAATTATAGGATATCCAGGTGGCACCCTATACAATTGCTTGGTGGTGTGGGGAAAACCCTCATCAGAATTGAGTGCAGAACCTCTTGCATAGTATTTCCTTATAATTCTTTTTTATTTCTTTAAGGTTGGTAGTAATGGCCACTCTCTTTCCATTAATACCATGCCAAACTGTCTCCCAAACTGGTCCTGTCACTGCAACAACTGTATGGGGAAAGTCTATTTGGGAGTGTATAGTTGAGAACAGGCATATTTTAAGGGAGAATAAACAGATAAATACAAGGGAAAGCTTAGGAGTAGGCATTTAGGGAAACTGAAGGTTTGATACTGCAAAATCATAGGATCCAATGTAGTAGGAAACAGGAAATTGGTTGAGACTGATGCTGGATGGAAGATGGGGCAATGAAGCAGAGTGGGTAACCAAGTGTTTATTATCCTGACTATTGGGGCCAATCAGGTCTCAGCCATTGTTTCCCTAATAGCACTCTACATCCTTATGAATTTCTTAATATTCTAATTTCACTAAGTATATTAGTTTTCAGTTGCTACCATAACGAACTTAGTGACTTAAAACAACAGAAATGCATTCTCAGTTCTGGAGGCCAGAAACCCAAAGCAAGCGTTAGCAGGGCTACACACACTGGAGGTTCTGGGAGAGCATCTGTCTTTTGCCTCTTCCAGCTTATGGTGGCTGTTGGCATTCCTGGACTTGTGGCTGCATCGCCCCAATCTGCCTTTGTCACAATGCTCCCACCTGTCTCAAATCTCATTGCCTTTCTCTTATAAAAGATACTTATCATTGGATTTAGCCACCCCACCTCCCCAGATAATTGAGGATGATCATCTCCAGATCCTTAACTTAATTATACCTGCAAAGCTCATTTTTCCAAATAAGGACAGTCACAGGTTCCAGGAATCACAGCATACATGGACAAACCATTTGAGGAAATCACCATTCAAGCCAGTCAATACTAGGAGATTTTAAATAGCTACAAATGTGGGGGAAAATTTTTTTTCATTTGGGTAAAAAGTAATATTGAAGAAGGAAACATAGCATGACATTACATACAGCAGAAAATCGAAAACCAAAGCCTTTAAAAACATCTGTATTTCATGTATAGGATTGGGAAAAGAACTCTTTGATAATAAACATATTCCAAGTAAACACAGACTTCGTAAATCTATAAATATTTAATTGCAAATATTAATACCCTACATTACTCTTCTACATAAAGGAGAAACTCCAAATCCTGTTCTTTAGGAAGACACAAGCAATACCGTGAGAGTAACTATTGCCAAAGCTTCCCTTTTTTGGGGAGACCTAACATGTTACATGGATTAATTACAAAAGGATATATCAGACTCCACTGAATTTAAGCAAAAGACACAGCTAAAATTTCCCACTGAGGGTAAGAAATATTTGATACTTATGAGTGTGAATACCTAAGTTAATGAAATATTAGACACAAGAAAAATTCCAAAACTATCTGAAGTACAAATTTAAAAATGGCATAAAAATGCCCTGGCTAGTGTGGTTCAGTGGATAGGGCATCGGCCCATGGACTGAAAGGTCCCAGGTTCGATTCCAGTCAAGGGCACATACCTAGGTTGTAGGCTCAATCCCTGGCCTTGGTGGAGGCAACCAATTGATGTGTCCCCTCTCACATAGATGTTTCTTTCTTTCTGTCTCTCCCCCTCATTTCCACTCTCTAAAAATCAATGGAAAAGTATCCTCGGGTGAGGATTAACTAACAAACAAACAAAAAATGGCATAAATACCAAATAGTCAGTTAACATAAACTTTGCTATTAGGTATGTTCCAGGCTTCCTTTTCTATTCCAGTGAGATCTGCTTTTTTTTTGTCCAAGGTCTTCCACTGCTGGGCTCCAAGACAGTAAACTATTTAATACCATCAAGGCCTTGGTCATGGAAAGGATTTATTTTAGAAAAAAAAATTTCTTTCTTCTTTACTAAAGATTATGGTTGTTTTTCTGCTACTTGCTTCTTTAAACGTATCAACTTCCTGGTGTAAGAAAAATTATGGGCAAGAGCACATATTCTATGTTGGCTGTCCCACAGTGTAGTGGCTGATTAATAAAGAAGCCACCCACTTGCCTGGCTGGTGTGGCTCAGTGGTTGAGTGTTGACCTATGAACCAGAAGGTCACAGGTCAATTCCCAGTCAGGGCACAGGCACAGGTTTTGGGCTCCATCTCCAGTGGGGCATGCAGGAGGCATGTTTCTCTCTCTCTCTCTCTCTCTCTGTCTCTCCCTTCCTCTCTGAAATCAATAAAAATATATTTAAAAAAGAAGCCACCCACTCAACCTTTTTGTCATTTGGTCTCATCTAAAGAATAAGTAAGCTGAAACTGGTTTGGCTCAGTGGATAGAGCGTCGGCCTGCGGACTGAAGGGTCCCGGATTCGATTCCGGTCAAGGGCATGTACCTTGGTTGCGGGCACATCTCCAGTGGGGAGTGTGCAGGAGGAGGCTGATCGATGTTTCTCTCTCATCGATGTTTCTAACTCTCTATCTCTCTCCCTTCCTCTCGGTAAAAAATTAATAAAAATATATTTAAAAAAAAATTAAGAAAAAAAAAAAAAAAGAATAAGTAAAAAGGATCAAGGTTACAAAGGACTCATGACCAAAGTACACCTTTTACAAATATCTTTTGACTGGCCATGGAAAGCTTTATTTCTTCATCAAGCCCCAAATGAGTCTTTAATGGATTAAGAATCCCTTCCCACCTATTAGAGGCCTATAAGGAATAAATGCTTCAAAGATCAGTTTCAAGTAGTACACAGATACTTCAGGGGAGTGGACCAAAGAAAAGAAAAATGTTTAAAGAAAATCCAACAAAATATACAGACCTACTTTTGAGTGGCTCCTTTTACTATTTAGAAATTAAGATATTTTCAGTCTTTTGCTTTCCTTTTCCACATTGTCTCTAATATCCTGGAGTTTTCTGGAGTTCTGGGCCAGGAACACCAAGCTGTCCCTGAAATCACTAGTCCCATGATTTCTGCCAACATTTTCAAGCTCATCAAACAAAGCCAATGTCTGTTTAAGTTTGGCCTGAACAGTTTTTTGCTCTTCTAACTCTGCAAGAAGGGCCTGCTTAGTACATAATTCAGTCTTGTACTTCTCCTGTAACTGTTCAATTTCTTTTTGGAGAAGCTGGAATTCTTCATCACTATAAGAATGCATCTCCTGAGATTTATCTTCCGGAAGCAAGATGTTTGGGGGAATACGCAAAATCCACTGTAAAAACAGCTGCTCCATTTTGACAAAAAGCTTATCAAAACGTCCTTTCATGAAGCAAAGAAACTTCTCTGTGCACTTACGAACCTGGACTGGGCTAATCTCACAGTTTGGGATGCCCTCCAGCTTCTTCAGAATAACCTGTTCAACAGCCTGCATCACTTCAAATAGGTAGTCTTGAAATGCAATGTAGATCCTGAGCATGCAAGTTTGTGGTGTGAAGCCAAAGAACTGGGCCTCATAGGTCATTGGATCGACAGACATCTTGACTTATTTTGCTGTTAATTTTGATTGGGAAAAATCTGCAAATGTAAAAGAAATATCATTGGATTACATCATCTGAAGAAAGTAATAAATCACATTATAGATAGAAAAGTTTGTGTTCCTTGATACCCAATGCCAATTCCAGCCTCACTCATCCACAACAGGATGCCAACCCTTGCCTCTCTGAGGCTGTTTCCACCCGTCTATAACCTCCCTTAGACCCTCATTTTCCTTACCTCTCATTTATTGAGGACTCTGGCCTGTGGTTCAGTCTTCTGAAATCTGCTATCATCCTAGAAAACATTCAGATTTAGACAAATAACCTAACCAGCCCTAGAGACACAGTTTCATGAGATTCAATGGCTTCACTCTTTTGGCCATCTGGCTCTTGATATTTGCAAATTCTCTCCCTAAATGCCCTTTCTGACAACTTCTTATGCTATTCTTCCAACTCTCATGCACGTACTCATACTACACCTTAATCATCAAGACTTTCAACCCTCTGATCCTCTCTTTCTTGCACTCAGTCTGTCCCACTTCACTTCTTTCCCTATCCATTTTAGGCTCCACCATCCATCACTTTAACCACTCCCTTGCCAATGTCCTCAACTCTGTCCTTCCAACCTAGTATACAGGGGGAAAAATCCCAGTTAGTAGCTGAACAAGTACATTATCAGCTTTACAACCTCAACGTGTTTTTTCAAGGGTCTAGAAGTCTTTACAATGTAAACATCTCGGAAAATAGATCTCCTATCTCCTTGTCACTGTGGGAGTGACACTAGGCACTTTTTTTCTGAGCTATAATCAGATGCTTATTGTAGAAATAAGAGAAGTTTTATTCCTTCAGATAAAGACAATTAGCAAAATAAATGGATACCCCAATTACCAGATGAATTTAGGATGGATGAACTTTATGAAAGAACTAGAGGCCCAGTGCACGAATTTGTGCACAGCCGGGGAGGGGATGAGGGAGGTTGGCTGGCAGGCCTGCCCCCGATGGGCGGGGGGAGTCGTGGGCAGGGCTGGCCAGGGGGAGGGGCCGTGGACAGTTGGCTGGCCAACCCTGCCCCCTAGTTGAACTCCTGGTAGAGGGGACAATTTGCATATTAGCCTTTATTATATAGGATTTGAAGCAAATGGTACAAATTGTTTTATAAGAAGACATGATGCCATTAATTTTGAGAATTTATTTATGCAATGACTAAAATAGAATGGCTGTTGTTGTAATGTACCCCGCGAATCACAGAAGGACGCCTCAAGAAGTCGAATTAAAGAGTCACATTAATTGCAATCTGGGACTATGAGGAGCCATTCCCCAAATCTCATACAAGATGGTTGCAGCTCCAAGGTTATATAGGCAAAAAATCACAAAGGTATTGATTATATCTCAGGGTTTGGAATGAGGAACCTGGTTCTCAAAAAAAGCAGTTTACAGAAGCAGAATTAAGCATGTTAATTATAGTTTTGGGTCTCGGAGTCACTGAATTGACAGAAACACATTATCTAGGGCAGGGGTCCTCAAACTTTTTAAACAGGGGGCCAGTTCACTGTACTTCAGACCGTTGGAGGGCCAGACTATAGTTTAAAAAAAACTATGAACAAATTCCTATGCACACAGCGGCAGCAAAAACACCCGGCAGGCCAGATAAATGTTTTCGGCGGGCCGCATGTGGCTGGCGGGGCCGTAGTTTGAGGACCCCTGATCTAGAGCCCTCGGGTCTGGAATGAAGAACCTAGTTTGCAAAAAAGCAGTTTACAGAAGCAGAAACAGCATGTTATCTAAATTACAGTTTTGGGTCTAGAGCCCTTGGGTAACCTGGGTTAAACTTAGGCATGTTATCTAAATTACAGTTTTGGGTCTAGAGCCCTCTGACCTTGGGATAACTGTGCTGTCCTTCCCAGGTAAAGGAAAATGTGCTTTCTAAGACCAGTATGACCACAACCCATGGGATATTCACATTACAATCAATAAGGCATGTAATTAAATGGGATGATTTATATAATTCAGAAAATCAAAATAACCTGTCCATTGTTAAACAAAGCAAATAGGTACATAAGCCAAACAGCAGGGTTAAAGTTAAACTATAATTTCTACCATACTTCACTGTAATTGCTTGGCTGCATAAATAAGGTAGAATTTCTTTCTGTCTTTGTAATCTCACCCAAATTATCTACAGTGCATTGTAATCTGAATATGACTATCTACACTAATAAAAGAGAAACATGGTAATTGGCGTACGACCGCTACCCTTCCCATTGGCTAATCAGGGAGATATGCAAATTAACTGTCAGCCAAGATGGCGGCCGGCAGCCAGGCAGCTGATGCGAACAGGGAGGCTTGCTTCCTTCAGTGACAGAGGACTCCAACGTTCCCCGCCTGCCTTGCCGGCCTCTGAGCTTCAGTTGGAAACATTGTAACATTTATAGAAGATAAACAAAACCCCAGAAACCTCCTGTCAGTCAGCCGGGATCTCAGAGCTGGAGTCGCAACATTGTTTCGAATACAGAAAACAAAGGCCAGAAACCTGCTTTCAGCAGCCGAGCCTCAGAGAGAAAGCCGGCTCTCAGCTCCAGTGACAGCCATAGAAGGTAAATAAATGCCAGAATAAAAAAAAAAAGAAAAAAAGGAGAGGTTTGGAGCTTCAGTCGCCCGCCAGCCTGAAAACGGCCCTCAGCCCCTCACCCAGACTGGCCAGGCACCCCAGTGGGGACCCCCACCCTGAAGCAACAAGATGGCGGCTAATTTGCATACTGAAGGCAGGCGGCAGCAGGCAAGGCTGTCTGCGGTCTGGGACCCGGATCTGTGACCCTGCCGGGCGGGGGGCAGCGC